CTTTTATCATTCATAACTTTCATAATTCCAGAGATACATCCCATAATACATCCCATTTTTAACATGGAAGTCAATGGAGAAACTCTTCAGACTTCAACAATCTTCATGCAACTTCAACTGCTAACTACTCCTTCTTCAACTGCTAACTGCTCCTTCATACTTTCACTCAGAAATCTATTTCCAACTTTAAAATGTTACACATCTGTCTGACATTATTCGTGTAACACAACTTTTAAATCTGATTCTTACTTTTAGAGATATTAAACATTGTTCAGACCTTGGTAAAGAGGGTCTGAACAATGTTTAATATCTCTAAAAGTAAGAATCAGATTTAAAAGTTGTGTTACACGAATAATGTCAGACAGATGTGTAACATTNGCATGCTCGGCCGCCAAACCACCCCTGCTCCGACTCTGTCTCCCCGTCGTCCGGGGAGAGGAGGGAGGGGAGAACCGCACGGTGAACCATGGAGGGAGACGGGGTAGGAGTCGTCCGACTCCTTGCCCGGCACTCGGCTCCAGGGACATGCTGCTGTCCACGCGCTCCTGGACGGGCCAATCGTCCTCGTCGGCCGCAGCAGCTAGAGCGTCTGCTCTTCGCTTCCTGTCGGCTGATGGGAGACGGGCACAATGTGAGCAAGCGACCTGCTGGCTGAGAGCCGCGTCCGCGTGCTCTGGCCCCAGGCAGGATTCGCACATTGCGTGCTGGTCATAGCTCATGATATATCCTGAGCCACATGAGGGACAATTTCGGACGCAGTTGTTGCTCATGATGTTTAATGGTTCTGTGCTTCAGTAACTGCCGAGGTTTGCTGAAGAAAAGAGGGAGCAGATTGTCGGGCCTCCTTCCTATTTATACCGGAAGGAAGCCAGAGTGTGGGGCCCACCTTGCGGGTGGGCGTGGACTACAAGTGTTTCAGTGCTGCGCGGGTGCGCAGGGGGATTACCCAATAGCGATAGCCTTAGAGGGCGAAGCCATATACGAAATAGAACCGTAGGTTCTTTTTGTATACCAAAACAAAGAAGAAAAACCAGGATAAAGAATCAAGACTACTTCGCAATTCCTTAAATTCTAAATAAGTGACATTGGTTACACATTTTAGTGTACTCAGATTGAGCCAGGTTATTCAGTCAGGTACACAAATAAAATAAAATACATGTAAATATAAAGTGACCACAGGAAGAGCATGCCATCACTCAAACCATCATCATTAGTCCATAATAGCTTAACAGAAAACCAATAATCTGTTGAGTCATCATGAGCATTTTATAGCTATAGTGGCCTTTAAAAAATAAAAGTATAAACATATATACAAAAAATGTATTGCGTTAGGCCCAGCTATGAGAAGCAACACATTAAATACATGTATTAGACATCCCTAAATGCATGTATTGATAAACTCATTTTAGATACAATTATGGTAGATGCTGTTACACTGTCGCCTGAGCGGTAATTTATGTCTGATGACTGAAAATCAAAAAGACTCCTACTGTGGAATAACACAACCTTGAACATTATTGACGTTGCCACCTGTCGATTACAAATGTCAGTGGAGATTCACCGATTACAGAGATACGACAACATGTTGAATTCTTCACAAGCCTCAGAGCCCGTTTGAGAGCTCTTCCACAGATACAGACTGTCTGACAGAGCAAGGACTCCAGCTGGAGCACAGATGCCAAATCTATCTGCCAGTCAGCTTTTCTCACCTCTAAATCTGTCTTTCCTGTCCTGTTTGTCCTTGAATATAGTGCCATGTTATCAATGAACTACCGACAGGAGCCTGCAGAACTTACATTACCATGGTTACATCACACACCACACAGGAGGGGGGCATGGCACACATGCTGCTGCATTTCATCAGCCAATTTATAGTGCGTGTCTGTCAGGGGAAATTATTACAATCAGATCTAAACTACGTCGCAGGAAGGACGGACAGAGTGAGATGAAAAGGAAGAGCTCTGTTCACACACTCTGTGCGTCCTCTGATGAGCGGATGTACAGCAAAAACACACACTCGCTCCACCAGCTGGGCGTCCTGCTGCTCTGCATTGAGTCCTGCCTTCCCGCCAAATACACTGTTTCTGAAAATAGAGTCCATTTATCATCACGTCACAACAAAACCTTGTCAGCCACATTTCAAGTGTTTTTCTGGCCCTGGTTTCTCTTGTTGCTCTGATTGACCAGAATAACACTCCAATGTGTTCAATCAAAACAACAAGCCACAACACAACGTCAAACTCACTTTTACAAACATGACACAACCTTCAAAATCAAATATTAGAAGGAACAGCTGATACTTAGAGGATTTGCATCCTGTTCAGTGTTGGCCTCACAACCCTTCTCACCCTTTTGCATTTCATCCAGTTTAATCTAGAGAAAGAAGGCTTCCCATTGATACATTTCTTCTAATGCAAATAAATAATTCTGTTTAATATGTTATTTTTGAACTTCATTTTAAACTGAGGTCAATATTATCAGAAACATATATATGCCACTGTTTGTTGTTTACCGTCAGTACTGAGGCTATTTGATTCGCAGAGTCACTTTAAACTCACTTGTTTTTTATGTCTGTTTAATTTGCTTTACCTTTGTTGCTCCACTGATGCCGTGTGATTTAAAAGTGCAGTTTATCTTTATTTCATGGGAACACCAGAGGACTAGCAACCAGATATAGAGAGATAAAGGAAATCCAAATAAAGAATAATGCTACATAAAAAACATTAAATTGATCTCTGCAGCAAGAAAATCTAAGTAATTAGTTTGTCCATCATATAATGGCACATTTCCACTGCAGCGGGGTAGCCCCGTTTAAGCGTCCTCGCTCAGGCCTCGGGCTGCCTCGCTGACCGTCCGAGGCCGTGGCGCATTTACATTACAGTTTAGGACCTGGGGTAGCAACGCAGTGTAGGCGGGGCGATCGGCTTTTTGGCTGGCTTTTTGGGCAGAGCGACGCTGGGTAAAACTGCAGTGGCGTCATCTTCAATGCGACACAACTCACAAAACAATAGAGGATGTGGAAGCGATCGTTTACTTGTTTCTTGGTGTGTGGCTTGTTATCACAGCAAGAAGGAAAGTGATCGCAGCAAGCAGGAAAGTGATGTTTCAAAGTAGGCTGCGTATAGCAAGACGAGATGCAGAAGCCAATCAGCAGTCGAGACTGTTGACGTCACTAGTTCAGCCCTGGCCCTGGCCTGATAGATCCACGATTTTATGGGGCCGGAAAAAGAGGGAAAAAGTACCCGCTAGCCAGTGCTACGCTATATGGAAAGGCCACCAAAAACTGTCCTGGCCGCTTGAGGACGATTAAGGACGCTTAAACGGGGCTACCCACTGTAGTGGAAATGCGCCATTAGTGTTTGGATCAAAAGCTCTGAGGAACAAGTGGATTTTGGATGCAACATTTCAAAAAACTCTACAACACCCACCGAGGTCTGGATCTCAAGACCCTTGGCAAAAAACCCTCAGGTCCTTTTTTTAATTTAAGCCACATTTCTGAAAAATAAATTCTCATTGCATTTTTGATGGGCGGGGAACTTTTGAAAGCCTCAAGAAACACACGGTATAATCACTGCTGCGAGTCCACGGTCGTTAAAGGTCCTTTTCACAGTTTTACAGTTTCCTTTAGCTGTTTCCATAACAACCATGAAGGGATGGAAGAATCTGCTCTATAACCTTCAGGACTCAATACACACAATAAAACACACACACATACACACAATAAAAAACACACACACACACACACACTGCATACCTGCACATATACATGTTTCAGTCCTCCGCCAGAAAACACACACAGCAGGGTCACTATGGTACGCACCAAATAATGCTAAAATCACTGTTTGGCATATTTGTCAAAAGTGCTGTAGCGCAGAGGAGTGGGCAGGGGAAAAAAAGTTATGAAGGCAGCCACACAGCTTTAAAACCAATCTTCAGATTATTCACTTTATCGTCATTGATAATCAATCATGTGGATCAATTCCGACAGGACATCCTATTAGACACCTACGCATCATCTCATTACCCCCATCCCACAAAGTCTGCTTATTCCTCTCAGAGGCTCTCCATGTCTGTCTACCTCTTGCTCATAAACACACAACAACTCTCACACACACAAGATGAAGCAATTCCCACCGCTGCGTGTATCACGCTTGACACAGCAGTGGGAATTGATTGAGTGCTTATTATCAAAACAGATTCTCCTCAGGATCTTAGCCCAATTAGAAAGAGAAGAGGCAGCGAGGACAGTGGATTCTGTGAGGCTGTGCTTTTTTTACAGTAGACATTAACTGGCTCTTTAAAATGCTTGTTTTTTTCCAGGTAAAAAAAGAAAGACAATGTACCTCTTAAAATGTTTATAGACCCCACTTAACAACCAATGGACACACATGGTACTGCTTTGCTTTTCTGAAGTACTCTTTTTCTCTACACCGACCTAAAGCTGACAATAATTACTTCCAGTCTATAAGTATGTTGGTTTGTGCACATTTCTTCCCAAGAAATATCCTGATCTGAAATATCCTGTTCTAAAAGCACCTTAGTTGGGGCACCCTAGTGATGTACAGTAGAGCTACCCAACATCCTCAATAAATACTTAGCTCAAGAACTGTGTTGCAAGTAACTCGTAGATCTCTCTGTCTCCACTTATTTCCTGTAATCTTTCTATCGAATGGCCAGTATACTGTAAAAGGCATAACACAGTCAGACCAATCAGATCGATTCAGATTTTCTCTCAGATTTTGTGCGCAATGCTACTAAAAGATGTGATTTCCTACTGAAGGAACTGTTGATACCAGTGAGAATTGAAAGTTAACCCAAATTAAAAGCCATATTAAAAAGATAGCTTTTTATTTTGCTTTTAAAGATTTCAAGGGAGTTTGCTGTTCTAAGATCCATGGGGAGGCTGTTCCATAGTTTAGGGCCGTAAAAGCAGAACGCAGCCTCCCAAGATCTCTCTTGATTTCTAAAAGCAGGGCAGTGGAGGATCTAAGGGTTCTTGTTGGAACATAAAAAGAAAGGCAGTCGCTGAGGTGCTATGTGATGCAAGGCTTTGTAAGTACTTGACCACTATTCTGTGACAAATGACATGATTTTGATTATTTTGAATCAGTTTGAATATCTACATATTTGCTTCTAGGTTACAGGATGATAAACTATATGTAGTACGATTAGTAGATTTCCAACTTTTAGGTTAATTACCTTTAAAACACACACGCTCTTGTGGTGTGCTGACATGTCTTTGGCACCTACTGGGTTAATACGTAAGAACATGCTTAAACCCACAGAAAAGACGATTACACACATCTGCAAGCCATTAGGTCTAATCACATAGTGCTGCAGCAGCAGAATAACAGACACCATACATTGCATTGGCTTGTGTTCCTCACTATAACTGAAAACTACATGCAGAGCTAACTGCTACTCTCATCATAATGAGGACAATCATCATCAGGGAAAAAAAGACCTCCTCCAACAAAGCCTTATTGTCTCACAGTTCCTACGATAGGGAGAGCTGCAGTGTACAGAACTATGAGAGAACAATCGCGCTGGCCTTGTCAAACAACTCTTGTTAATCCTTTTTTCCCTCACACACCTCTTCCTGTGTGCGGAGGAACACAATGGGATTAGAAGGGATTATTCTCAGTCCTAGGAATAAACTTGACCCTGTCACAGACGATGAAGGTGAAACAAGGTGAATGAGGTGTTTTGGGGAAAAGTGTGATTCTTTTGTTGGCCTAAGGTTTTCTCAAGCAACCTATTTTTGTTTAATTGCACTAATAAAGATGATCTGAATTGCGTTGTCAAGGTCACTTTTGTGGTCTTCCTGTTGGCGGAGACAAAGCTGGAAGCTCAGCAACTCATCACTTCCTGGGAGCGTTTGTGCACCCGTTTATGAGTAAAATGAAAAACATGCAGTGGCTCGTTGTGTCACTTTATGTGCTTTATGTATTCTTTTAAACCTGTTTCTAAGCATTTAATAATGTATGATTGTCTCATCTTTAACATGCTTGCCAGAAAAATAAACATAAATGTTTTTGTCATCTAGAAAATACAAGCAGGCTGTGCTTGTTTTTTTGTTCCGCTGCATCAAGTGATTGCTCATTGATCGTGTTTCTGTGAAATGCACTCTGCCTCATGAAGCCAATTCAGCGGCTTAAGGATTCATAGTGAAGTGTATTCAACCAAACTATCAAAAGAAATAAGAATAAAGTTAACACTGTGTCAGAAGTTCTTCAGAGGAAAGTGGTTCCATTAAAATGTGTTCACTGTAATATCTATCAAAAACCTTTTGGGACAGTGTTTTGCGGTTGAATTTTCTTAAAAGTTCATTTTTAATGCAAAGGAAGAATTCAAAGTTTTTGGAAAACCTTGTAGTTTTTTATATTTGAAATTGAAAGTCACTTTTACCACAAACACCAACTCAGGTTTGGTCAATATAGAACTGTAATGATGCTAAGATAAGGAATGTTTCCAAGGCACTCCAAGACAGTCTTAATAGATACAACTAGAGAATGCAATTCCTGAAGAAATTGCTAGTGGGAATGCTTTATGCTGAAAAGCTGACGTTAAACTGCTATGCTGAAATGTAATGTGTAAGAAGAAAGTGAATAATTTAGATTGAAATGATACATGAACACTGGGGGCTTGAATGTGTGATAAGAGAAGAAAAGAAAGTAAAAAGGCTTGGAAAAGCAGCAGAATGTTTTAACTGCAAACTTTTGAAGTAACTTAATGGCGAATGATCTGTCGCCATGCCAACGGCATTTGATGACATCCCATAATACGCTTAGATGCGTTGATGGCTGCATCGTTACCAAACCTGTGAAGTTTTGGGCCGTTTGGAGCATTTTCACTCAAGATTTGAGAAAACCGTGTTTCATGGTGAGCATTGTGTGCCATGGCAACGGCATTTGAAGAAATCTCAAAACTGTCCCGTCGATGTCTTCATGGCTGGACTGTTAGCACACATGTGATATTTGAGCCCTTTTTGAACATTTTCATAGGAGTTATAGCGACATCGTCTTTTATGGCTGGATGCGTTTCCATGGAAACGGCATATGATGACACCCCATAATTGACGTAGAGCTGTTGAGGGCAGGACCGTTAACCATTATCTGAAGTCTGGTGCTCTGAGCATGTCAGTTGGAGTTATGACATCATCGTGCTCCATGACACAGGTGTTTATATTTGAGCTAACGACGTGTCCAGAGATCAAAGGTTTCCATGGTGATATGCAGTAATCGGTTAGAGGAGAGCGTTTTTATTGTTCTGAATGAGAGATATACCTCTTACATGTGAACGTTTTGTTGAAGAACCGTAACAGATATCGGTGAAATTTCAAAGCGTGAAGCATGTCAAGGAACTTGAGCATCTGAAGTGTACTTTTTGTGTACTTTCGGGTTAATAATGTGGCCTTTTTGGCAGATTAACTAAAGGTGTGGTGGGGAAAGATGAGGCTGAACTTACAATTGGGTTTAATGGAGACATGTTGAAAGTTTTTGTCACTTCATGCCCTCAAGAGGCATTTTGTTTAATTATTTTGCTTAATT